AACTGAATTTGACCTTTCTAATGATATTGCACCTAGTAAACATAAATCTTTGAAATCAGACACTCTGGATAAAGCAACAAACAGTAAACCTAATGCAAATTCAGAATTTCCAGCATCAAGAATTACGGAAAGTAAACTTAGACCCTGAGACTTATGTATAGTGCATGCCCAACATAAACTTATTGGCAATTGAGTCCTGGAACATCATATACCATTTTTATACCACGTAGACTGAATAGGAACCAATGGTACATATTTTATATGAAGATCTTCAAGATTCACAGATTCAAATTCAATCAATATGCAGATTGGTAAAGTAGGTGGTCTTTGACCATGATCATACAGTATATGCCTTATGATACCTATAGCACCGTTGACAAGACCTGTAGATATATTGATGTTCTTTCTTAACATAATTTTTGCACCTTTAGATATAACTAAGTCATTGTGCAGACCATCAGCCAAGTCATCACTTGATAAAAAGGCAGTGTTGCTGTTATTGATTGCCTTCAAACATGCCAATGGTTTCCTTAGCTCCAGCAACTTAATTTTGTTAATCTTATTACAAGATTCATTGATAGATGTAATATACAATGAATTCTTAAATTGGTTGCTTTCTGTTGCTCCAATTACATTTACACATCTTTTACTCAATGCTTTGACATCATTCATCGTACACTGACCTTTACTGACACGAGTCAAAAAGTTTATGTATTCAGCATTCGCAAAACGATGACAGATATTTAACACAAAAACTTTTGTAATTTCTCCCATTATCATTTTTCCCCTTTCTAGAAGTGAATTACATTGGGTCAATTTATCAATATGGGCATACAATGGTTGATCCATACAAGGCAATAACTGATTACAATTTCCAACGAAAAACACATTCAAACCACCAAATAACGCATCACAATCCTTACATCTTCTTTCTAAACACGCTAACATTCTAAGGCCAACCATTGAATACTCATCAACAAACAAAAACTGTAAACCAATGTGCTTTTGTCTAAATGCCAACAAATCTAAGCCATTCAACTTTTCAACATTAAAACCATATTTTCCCAAGCCCATAAATGAATGTAAAGTGCTACCATTAATTATTCTAGCAGCGTCTCCAGTTGGTGCAACAACCTTTATGGAATTATGACCAAGAAGCTTCTTAATATGTTGCACACTCATCTTAACCCTGTATTACCCCGTGTAACCATTTGGTTACAACTGGAATTATTGCTTATATCTGCATTGTTAATGCATCGGTTGGACTCGGATGACTTCCAATCTGATGTTTTAAACTATCCCGCGTCACTAAATCGATATATCGACGTATCGCGCTCGATCCTGGAAGAAGAAAAAGGAAAGAAGAAGACTACAAAATACACCACAACATGGCGTGAATGTTTCGCGCGCTTTACTTGCACTATCCGTCCTATTTTTACAGATTTTTCGTTGTCAGAGGTTAGTATTGTAGTCGTTAGTGGCAAACTAACTTCTAGGATCACTCGCCAATCGTTTTTGTGGAACCTGTCAGCATGAAAACTGTGTTGTATCCATATGGTCACTTTGGCCTACACCGGTTTGCTAGTTTCCACCTTTACCCAATATTATCAAAACGGCAATTTCTGGCGCAAGTATCTACTTTACTAGTCCTAATCAATGATTTCAGAAATTGCAATCCACTTGAAACGTGTTTTGGGTGTTTGTTTAGGTAAAAATGATAACAACAAGTATAGGTTATGGGTCTGTTCTCAGTTGCAGTTTGGCTATCAAATAATAAGAAAATTTATAAAGACAACTCCGAATCATGGCATTTCAACACTCTTTTGAGTATAGTGAATGTTTGTCACCTTAGTTTTGTTTTGATTATTACTCAAATTGCTTTGTTTGAAGTTTATGATGTACTGGTGTTTACCAGCACTCTCATCCAATTCTCACTTGTTTAGGCTCTTAGCCTGATCTCCTCTGTCAAACATAACGGTGCTCTGTACCGGTTTCATAGTACATTTATTTTTATTTATATAAAAATATCAAACTAAATATAATTTTCCTGAAATTAAGTGTTGGTTTCTAATTTTCTTTACTGTAATTTTACTATTTTTGTTTCAGATTTTCATATGTTACCATGGCGGGTATTGGGGCCAATTTATTTTATAGGAAGAAACTGATCCCTTGTGTGCCCTCCAATAATAAAGATTCAGACGGCTCTTCTGAGTCTGACAATGAGTGTGAGGACTTTGAACGGTCTCAAGTTCACAAGAAAAAGACTCGCAGAGCCTGTCTAGTTGAAGTACCTGAAGAAAGTGATGATAGTGAGAGCTCTCAAACTTCTACATCAAGGTGGAGCAAGAAAGGGAGAGTCAACAGTAGTATTGTCATACCCGAAAGTGAACCATCAACTTTGTCAACAGTCTCCAGCACTTGTATTTCTCCTGCCAATATATCTTCACCAAGTGGTTCAGTGAGCACTTTGCCCCCTTCTCCTTCGACTGTGAGAAGATTGAAGGAATTAAAAAACAATTCTGAAAAGTCAAGGGAGGAAACTTCCAGTAAGCCAAGTACAACTGTGCAAGATTGCTGCAAACCCAACAGTTCAGCTCGTGCTCCAACTCAACTATCTAGAACTCAGCCTGATCGTACTCAGCCTCCTCGTACTCAGACCCATCAAAGTAATATACCTACCAACACTCGAAGAAAGCTGTTTCCAGGCTGTATTTCAAAGTAATGTACCTACCAATCCTCGAAAAAATCTATTTCCACAGAACTGTGTTTCCAACCTGCCAGCGAAGACCAAAGTTACAGAGCCATCTGGCAGGGCTAAGAAAATATTTGGAGCTGCTTTTTCAAATGGGCCATTATCAGATCTAAATTCTAACAATAATAACTTAGATGTACTTTCACCTCAAAAGAAGGCCAAAGAAATATCTGGAACTGCTAGTCAATTATCAGATACAAATAAAACTAATAATTCTGAACCACTGTCAAAAAAACAAAATGTGGAGAGGAAAAGGTCATTAAATCGAATGAAATACAAGAATAAAGAAAACTGCAGTGTCTCTGAAATTCTGTGCTTGTGAGTGTTTTTGTCTTTCCTTGAAATTAATGGAACCTTATTGCTTAGAAATTATGAAGCCTGATGCCTCTTACACTCCCTCAAGCTCTCTCTTGCTTTCATCAAGTCCAGGTATGTGTCTCTCCTTATGTATATTTCCGGTAATATGAATTAGGGTTTTAAATAAGATGTTCCTGATGCTATTTAGATACTCCAAGCCAATCAGACAAGGGAGAGAGTGTACCTGCCAACAGACAGCGGTGCAAAGGGTCTACACCTTCTAATATTTTAACTTCTACTCCAATGGCATCCCCCCAATTGTCTCCAGTTACCCCTGCTTCTGGAACACTGTCATTTCTGAATCAATTAAAATCTAAAGGTGAGAAGGGAGAATGCACGTGGGGATGTAATTGTTTAGATTAGTATGGTCTAGTCTGTATTTTTGTACAGTTTGTAATTAACATCTAGAGGTATTTTTATTTAGTGTTGCTTTTGCTTTCATCTAATCGAGGTTTCTGTGCTTGTCATTTAGGTACGCCGGGCCAAGAAGACAAGGGAAGGAAGAATCACGAATCTTCTCCACAATCTCATAATGATAATCAAATGTCAACCCCGGCATTATCTCCTGTTACCCCTGCATCTGGTACACTATCATTACTGAATGATTCAACATCTAAAGGTGAGGAAATAAAGTAAACAAGTTGTTTTAAATTATAACTTATTTGTATGGTATAGTTGCTTAAATGATATACATTTTTCATGTCCTTCTTTTCAAAACATGACGTCTGCTTGTTCTGTTTTTGAAACAAAAGACTTAATTAATTCATGATGTCACACGCCATGCTCAGTTTTTCCCGTTGTAAAGTGCTCATAATCGTTGTGTGTTTTAGGTAAACCAAGTTCGGGTGTCGGGGATATAGACTTTGGATTTGAATCAGTCTCTCAGAGCAGTGAATTTGTAGGAAACAGATCCACAGAACTAAATGGTATGTTTTGTTAGTATCTTCTACCTTTTCTATGAAAGCTGTTCCTTTTTTTAAGTTTTCCTAATCTTTATAAATCAACATGAAATATTATCAATTTTATTTTTCTTTTAATTTATTTAGATCATGCTGTGCCTGTGAACGCTCTTAACTCTCACACAGAAAATGCAGAGGCTCAAACAATATCAACACGAGATTCTCAAGTTCTGCTCCCTCAGAATGACAAGTGTTCTGACGCTGCCCATGTATTTAAACCTCCATTACAACAAGCTTCTGTACTACCAAAGAGAGACAAAATCATAGAAAAAGTAAATGGAAACAAACAGCAGAGTAAAGGTAAGAAAAGTACAAAGCTTTCATTTGTATATATTATATCAGGGAGACTTACTTTGGTATAATTCTTGATTTACAGTGGCAAGAGAAAAATCTGTTTCAATATCATATGAGTCATCTTCATCAGCCTCTCAAAGTACATCAAAGATTCCTGTCAGGCAAAGCACCAGAAGTAAAAGAATGAGTAATAATAAGATCATTATTATGTTTAGGCTTAGTTACATAGAAAATAAACTTCATTGTTCCTTTGCAGAAGCACATGAGAAATTATCAGCCACTGCACCAGCATTAATAACAGGCAGTGTCATCAATGAGAAACCCACATCAAGCAAGGGCAATCCCAAACAGAAACCCCAAAAAGACAGAACAAGTAATTCTTCAACATCTACAGGTAAAAACAAAGTTTTTATATTAGTATTAAAATATGTCCACTGCTCCCCTTTCCCTAGAAACTTACATTGATTGTTTTTTATTTATTTTTCATTTGCAGCAGCACGATGTAGATCACCAGATTTTTTGCTGTCAACATCTGCACCTGCAAGACGAAATGCAAATGTTGATAATTCACCAATTTTAGCAGATGAAGAGGACGATGAGGACGAAGAGGTCTCAGAGGAGGGAGAGGGTTGGCGCATAGGTGATCTGCAAGAAATAGTATTTCCCGAAGAATCCAACCTCTCACATCCAGATGAAGTCAAAAGCCCATTAGAGTATTTTCGACACTATTTTGATGATGATCTTATAACATTGATAGTAAATGAGACCAATTTATATACTACTCAAGAGAGTGGTAAATCTATTAATGTATCAAATGATGAGATTTTGGCATTTTTTGGGATCATGATCTATATGGGAGTGTGTTCTCTACCATGTGCCTCTGATTACTGGAGTAGGGATACAATTGTTAACCAGATTTCAGAAGTGATGCCTCGTAATAGATACCAACAAATCCACTCAAAAATCCACTTCCATGATAATGAGGAAGATGGTGAAG